TGGATGCAGACATCTCATCGCATGTACTGGGCATTGGCCAGCGATCTCTGGGCCATTAGCACCAACGCTACGCACATCGGTGGCAAAAGCTTACTGTCCGCAAGCCCCCAGTTTGCCTTTTCAAACACGTCAAGCGCATCGCTCTTGGCCCAAAACCTGACGCTGCCAATGCCGTTGCTGCCTGGCTTGGTGCAACTCGCGTCCGCACTGGGACCCTTTGGGGCCATCGACACTCATCTCCTCGCACCACCAAGACTACTCTTGGACCTCCTTAACGATATCTTAAGTGCCGTCACCATGCAGCTCGTCTCGAACGAGTTGGCGCAAGCCGAGTTTCTTTCGATTCCTTCCAAGCCCAGTGTCTGCGAAGTACCTCCATTCCTCTTATCCGACCCTGCTATCATGCTCTTGGGCGGCAACCTCATGTGCGGTGACGACTTGCCGCCCGAGCCTGCGATTGGGCTCTACAGCGGCTTTGGGGCGTTCAGCGTCTGCAACGCCAACTTTTTCGAACTCATGCAGCTAAGCACGAAGGAGCAGATCTTCGCTTTCGCAGCCTTTCTCGCCACAACGGCTATTGAGCCAGAAGACTACCAGGGTATTTGCGACCTCGACAAGTGCTCTGGCGTAGCATGTGCAGCCCAGTTTCGAGATGTTGTCGGCTGGCTAGAACAATACCCGATTGTGACCCCCCGTGACCTTGTGTCGTCGGTGGTTCAGAGCATCCTTCAACTCAATCTCGAGACGACGCAGTACTTTTACGCGACCAATGACACGCCCCATGTCCAACTGTACCGTGTGCCGCTACTGACGCCGTCGGAGCGTCTCTGGGGCTTTTACGGCTGGTGCTTTTTGTACGAGTGGGCGACCGGTGCGCGCGAAGCCGTCATATTCACGGGTGACGCCGGTACGATCACGTCACTCTCCCAGCGGACGCCGCCACTAAAGATAAGCCCCGATCCTGGCGAGGTGCCCGTGAGCTTTGCGTCGTTTTGTCAAGGGTGCATTCTCTACGTCACGGGATTGCTCATTGCGGTGGCGGGGCTGGTGACCATCTACAGTCTCAGCCTGCGTGGCCGCATTGAAGCATTCAATCTCTTTGAGCTTAGCCGAATCGTGGGCCACGTGTGGGCAGGTCGCCTCGTGCTTCTGCTACGTAGTTTGACGGCCATCTGGATCCTCAATACGGCGCCGCTGCTCTTAACGCAAGTCGGTGCCGCCACCGTGATGACGTCGACATCACTGACGTGGTACAAGACGATCCTGGCGGCCTCCGAGGTCTCGTGGCTCGTCTACGCCCTCAACGACCTCTTCAGCGTCATGACGCAGCAGTACACGGCTACGTACGCGCCCAAGAGTGCCTTTTTAACGTGGTTTGTCGCGACTCTCTGGTCGTTTGTGTCGCCCGTCGCAGCTCGTGCTCAGCTGCATCGGGACTGCTCCTTCGTGGACATGGACGCGGGGATTTTCTGCTCGAGTGCGATGATTTCCATCGGCTCTACACGCGGCAGCATCGCCTTGGTCGCCATGGCGTTGGCGTGCATCCTGCTCACGTATGCTCTCGACCGGCTTCGGTTTCCTCAGCTACCACCCGTACAAGTACACTCGCTCTTGCTCAACGCGCAGAGTCTCTACTTGTTTGATTGGACCGACTGGGCGATCGAAGGCGAGTACTTCCTCGACAAAGCGTCAGCGCTCATGGCCGGCGTGCTCTCGATCGCGTACAACGACAACTTGTACATTTTCGACATCAAAACATGGCGGTATATGACACTCCCAGTGCCCGTCGTGTCCCACGCCCTCGATCCATCGACGCGCGCCCGACTTCAGTCTGCGCTGCCGCTTGGACGCATCTAATGCTGGCGATCGCATACAGCACGAGCCCATCCAAGCACATCCATGGCATTTTCCTAGAGAGCGCTAGTCTAGGCGAAGCAAAGCCAAGTCTCATTCGATATAATGCTCATGGCACGATTCATAAGTGCGATATTCGGCAGTGATGACAGTGTGAGGTAGATAGATAGATAGATAGATAGATAGATAGATAGATAGATAGATAGATAGATAGATAGATAGATAGATAGATAGATAGATAGATAGATAGATAGATAGATAGATAGATAGATAGATAGATAT